TAACAACAAAGTATCTGCAGTTCTAAAGGACCTTTCTTCCTTCAGTATTTTTTGAAAAGCTGCAGTTGCTATGTACTTTGCCTCTTCATAAATAAACTAAATAAAAATTTAAGTACAGCTATATTTATGCTTTGGTCTTCATAACAAACAAAATAACCCTGTTCCTCCCAATATTTCATTCAGGATACAAAAACATAAAATCCAAAGGTTTTTCAATTAGATGACAGAGAGACAACACCAAAGTTACACTGAGCACCTACAGTTCAAATTGGTTACAATTTAAAAGCAACAAACAGCTAAATGGGTACAACACTCTTCAAGAATATTTATATTACTTTAAAAGTGACACATCTGTTTAATTTTGTATTTCAAGTGCACTTAACTATCCAGACACAAAACAGGCTAAAAATTAGCACAAAGCAAATGCTGTACACAACACTATCAATGAAAATAAACTGACACATTAAGTTTTAATAGAAATTGCACCTTGAGGATTGGGATGGGGGTTTTACCCCATATTCCAGACAGATTTTTAAAAGCGGCTGATATGAGAGAAATTCTTGGCCTAATTCTGTCTAGGTTTCAGATTCTAGCTAAACAGGAATTCAATGTGGCATCATCCCATCAAGTGGCAGATTAAGGTGCATAAGTGAAACCAAATGGGTAAAGTCAAAAAAAGGATGAAACTCCCACTGCAATCTATGTTCTCCCATTAGCTCTCAAGCCAAGCCCTCTTTTTCTCCCCCATAACAAAAGAAAATCCTAATCATGTTTTCTTGTAAACAACCACAAAGGGGAATGCTTGGTATGCAGGCAAGGCCAAGATAGTGCCACCCCTTCAGAAAGGCAGAAAATTCTTCAAATATTTACTAATCGATTCTTCCAACTTTGCTTGTCTGAACCCAAAGGGCTATCACAGGGAGCCATTACAAACTGGAATCTGTGTGGCTTTTTTGCTTTATGCCAGCCATGTAGCACAGGTACCAAACACAGGTACCAAACACAGGCAGCCCCAGCCCTGGAGTGCCTAAGGATGGTGAGGATGAGGTGCCCACATCCCACCCCTTCAGATCTGTCAGCACTTCCCCACAGCCCAGACCAGCAGCTCCTGGTCACTGGAGCACTGCCTGACTGACTTGCAGAGGATCACGTTTCTGTGCTCTCTCTATGCCTTGGAGAAGGGAATGATGCTCTATTTATTTATGCCTCTCTTTCAAGAGATGAAACAGGAGAATGGGCCTCAGACCTAAATATATGTATATACACGCTGCTTTCCTTCTGTGAACAGCCCTCACTTTTAACTTGTTCCTCCCTCCAAACTACTTACCTTTCCAAAGTCCTCCAATTCCACATGCCTTTAAATGTACCTTTAAATGTACCAGCTGTGTCCTGCAGGATCTACCTCACTTGCCCAGAATAATACAAGGATCATTATTCTTACACAAAACCACCATTTCATTTTCTACTAATCATGGCAAATGTTGCAAGTTCCAGTCTCCTGGCCCCCATCCAGCTAATTTAGATAGATGGTTCCACATGTGCTCTCTGTCCTTCCATTTCCTGCCCATACCAAGGCACACATTTGTCTAAGTGAGTCAAAGCAGCTTTCTCTGTAGTCACAATATTTTTTAGTACTTTATATTTTAAAAAAGAAGCCTGCATAAAACACAGCCTATTACCATGCTATTACTGACTTTGCAAGAGACACAGGATTTTACTGCTTTGCAACACATTCATGGAGTGTAATGGGTCCCAAGCTACACTTGAGCCTTGCATTTCCCCCAAATACAGAAGTTATCTGTGTAGCAACTGTGTTCAGGCAAAGCAAAACAATCAACTAAACTAGTCAACTCTCTACTTCAATATACTCCATTATCCATGTTTTTTGCCCTTAAAATAAAAACTTCAACAATCTCAAAATATTAAGAGGAATGAGGATAAGCCAAACTTTCAGAGACCACAACACTTCTTCATTAAGGTAATTTGTTTCCTTACTAGTCAATGCTGTTAATATTCCTTTCCAGAGACAGTCACTACACATATATGGGGACATCCACCTTTTGATGTCCAACATCAACTGCCTCAAACAATATTCCTTCTTCTCATCCTCTGCACCTGAACAAACATTTTTAAGGAAAATTACTTTTGAAGTCTCCCCACAAAACATTGTCTCTTTGATCCAACTATCTTTCTTCAAGTACCCTAGGATGATACAGATGCACCTTGGATGGCAATGGTGACTGTTGAAAACTAGAGCCCTCAAGAGCTCCTTTGAAATACATCTTAACTTTTAAATGAATTTTTGATTTACAAATATGCCCTATGAAAGCTCAAAATTTGAATTCTCAAGACCCTGCAGCAAACATTCATCTATTTGCTGTGTGCACTTACACAGGAGCTAAAGTGCAGAAAAGATGGTACATGCACAAATGTGCAGCACAGCCCCAACCAACACACTAGTGATTTTTTATTTTGTAAGAAATCAATATATTAGTAATTAATTTATCAGTAAGGCTGATAATTATATTTTTTTTTAAAAAACTGAAGATGCTGCAGGAAACAAGTCATGCCTGTTCACTCCTGCCTGCAGCCAGAACCGTGGTAAACACATGTGTGTGGGTGTCACATTGGGAGCCACACCAGTGCACACACACCACCCCAGCTGACCTTAGAGAACGGGATTCTTACACAGGAACTGATTATGATGGATGAGTACCAGAATCCCCAAGTCCCCAAATCTTTCTATCACAGAACTCTCCTCTAATTCCCAAGCTTGTGCAGAAACCACTCAGACTAGAAACTCCCATCCCACTCACACCCACCCTTCTGCCAAATTTGGCCCAAATCTCCCCCCTCAGAGTGATGATGCCACATCCCCACACGTTCTCTCTAAAGCACCTCAACATCCAAGTCCCCACATCCTCCTCTATCCATCTCCTCTGCTGCCTTGTGCTTCCCACCCCCAGCAGCCCTGATTCCACGGCTGCAGCACAGCACCATTGCTGCTGCCAGCACTTGTTACTGATTGCCCTGCCATATTTCTTCCAGAAACTGCCTCCCACTATGAACATCCCTTGTCCTCCTCTTGGCTCTCCTCGTATGACCAAGTATGCCAAGAATTTCAGAAAAGCCAGTTGTAGGCTGTGCTTAGCCAAAATTTGTCTGAAGGTGGCTCTGAGAACCAGGAAGGAAGAAAATAGAGGCATACGGGAGATCTTTTAACTGTGCTGCGAGATCAACACACTGCACACCAACAAATAGATTCTAATTCATTGAGAAATGTAATAACCAGGACTGAAACCAGGCTGTGAGTTAAGTCTGCACACATGTGCCTTAATAGGCAAGTCTCTCAAAGCAAGACAAACAGACACAGCCCAAGTGAGTGCTGACTCAGAGGAATCTGCAAAGCCATTATCCCTGCTCTGCCATTCCAGGTCACCGGTGATCCTCCAGGTACACAACAGAGAGGATGAAGGAATGACACAGAACTGCTTTGATCAGCAGCAACAGAAGAAAGGATTAGAAGAAGACATATCATGGCAGAAAGGTCACACACACTTCTGTGTATGCACATATACCAATGTACTGCAGCTTCCCTAAACGGCTTCAAATACTTCATTGATTTTACTACAGTTCTCTAAATGTTCTTGCTGCTCTCTTTAAAAGAATTTTCCTTTTTAAAAAGTCTTCAACTGAATGTCATTTCACATCCAGTCTGTAAGAGTGGAGACAGTCTACCAAACATTTGCAGAAGAAATCAATGTTTTTATTGTTAAATGACAATTAAGGTGCCTGAACTATTTTTTTTTTTAAGACCTAAATTCTAAAATATTTAGTTCTGTCAAGTCTACTTTACATAGTCAACTTCAAGGACATAAGAAGCTCCTACAAAGAGGTAGAGAACAACCTACTTTTAGCATGCACCTAGGGAGAAAGTGAGCTTGTATCAGGTGAAGGAAACACAGTGAATTTCCAATAAAATGCAAGGGCAGGAAACGCTACCAGAGGCTGCCAGGAGAATGCAGAGCCCCCATCTCCAGTGGTCCTTTCAGAACAGGTCCCTGCCATGAAGTACCCCTGGCTCTGCCTCATGGCAAGGGGAAGGACCCCATGATCTCTCAAGGCCTCCAACCAGCACTATGATTATACAATTTCACAAGTACCCACTGCAATATTGGCATCACAGCTTCTCTTCTTATTAATTTTTCTTCCATTATTTAAAATTCCACCCTTACAGAGGAACTTTGTCCACTCACATTTTTTATCATCTCTATCAAGACATAATGTTTATACTCACAATTTTGGACAAGTTATTTCTTTCTGCTTCACTCCAGCATTACTTTCTTATGCCTTTACTTTTAAACAGAGCATCAAACAGCACTGTTTAACAACATTTTGCATTTAAAGTGTGGTTCAATAACTTTGCTACACTCATTTAGCACAGACTCTAATATTTAATGTTTATGATGTTTGCGACTCTTGGCCAAAGTACAGCATCAAAAGAGCATGTATGCACTGAATTGTATCTTGTTAAAAAGAACAGCAGCACTGAAAAAAGTTATATTGGAACAATCTATAAATGTGTTTACATTATATGAATGATTTGCTGTTCCTTCACAAGGCATGTAGGAAGTCAGCACTTCTCAAATGTGTAAAGTATTTCCATGTGCTTAAAGCACGATCTTTCCAAAACAAACAATGATTGAGAAATTTTTTATTATTCTTTATTTCCCTGCCAGCTGTTTTTTTGGACTCTCCTCTCAGCCACCTTCTTTCTTTCAGTCAGATCTCTCCTTATTGCTCACAGTAACACCTACTCAAGCAAAGGTACATTCAGATCTGTAAGGCTCAGAAACAGGAGGATCTCAGGCTGATGTAAATGGCATTTTCTTTAGATTACTTCACAACGTGTCTTTGTGCTATCTTAGCTAGTGGCAGGTCTGGCTGTTGCTTGGGATGGAATCTGGGATGGAATCCTACATTAGAGCCTGAAGCCCATTCATGCTGTTCTGTCTCAGTGCCTGCTCCCATACAGGCAAGAAGGCAAATGACAACCTGGCTGCTGTCTTCCAGCAGCCTCCTTCTCCCTGTGAGCCTTTTCATGGGACCAGAACATGCTGCTTGTCACAGAGGTGTCCTCTGAAAACTGATGGGGAAGAGTCAGGCATGCAAGTAAGCTCTTGGACAACTCCAAAAATCAAACAGGACACTAAAAATCACAAGCAAAACAAAACAAAACAAAACCCAAACCAACCCAAACAAACAAAAAAAAAAAACACCACAACAAAGAAACAACACATCAAAAAAAAAAAAAAAATCAAAAAAGAAATAATTAGAAAACTTCCTGACCCTAAGAACAGCTCAATTCCAATAGATCTGCTCCACTGCTGACCACAGACACTTTAACTAGCAAGCACATTGGTCATGCCATTCACTCCTGTACAATTAACACTGTTGGCACTATTTCATTTACTAAATTCCAGTCATTACAGCTGTGCAAACTTATGGGTCTAATTTGTATTTATACTAATATGTGTACATAAACATGTGCTGCTTCAGCCATGTAAAGGAGCCTTAAAGCAAATGAACAAATATTATTTTAACAGAGCAGTATCAGAGCCCAACCATAAAAAAGAATCAAGTCAAGCAGTTCTGATTATGTCTGTCTACCAAACAGCTTAATTTCAACTACAGCATATTTCCTAAGGCATTCCAAACTAAAATCCTGCAGAGAGCTATGGGGAGACATAGCACTGCATTTTCAAAATACAGTCTCCTTTTCCAAGGGCATTACTGTGTAAATGAAGGGAGGGGAAATAACAAATACTGTCATTTACTTTGCTTTTTTTCCTCCAGAAACATTTCTTACCAACATAAGGAACAAAATTCATTAAGTCAACATCATGTGCTGAATGTTTATGCACTTTGATATAACAGTAATTACTTAGTAAGGCCAGAACCCAATTAATGTTTTAGACTTCAGTCCATGGGCTGGAGTGCACAGGAAGCATTCTGATGATAGATCACTTAAATAAAGTTTATCTGGCATACACTTCAAAACCAGAGTTCAGAAACTCAAAGCACAGTTCGGCATGTATGTGCTTGACTCTTAACAAAACATCTTTATTTAAACAGAGGGCTACAGATTTAGTATGACAAATGTATTTACTGCTGCTAATCATTCTCCATCATGCTACTCGGAAGTTGCAGTCATATTGTATTTATAAACTTATGAGATTTAAGGGAACAGTAGGTGGGTCACAGGACTGTGGACCACTTTTTAAATCCAGAATGTCAGTCCTAACCTGAGCTATATCATCCAGTATGTTTGATGTCCCTCAGTTTATATATTTGAATTCTATATCCATGTATTGTCAGAAATGGTAGAGATCCAGCAGCCACAATTTATTTTTCCTCTCTTCTTTTCAAAGATAGTATCCTTCTTAGAAAATCAATGCTTATTGTTAAAAGCAAGACACTGTTACTGATGACAAAAATTCAATGCTAAAGCAATATGCTATATACACTCTGACTAGGAATCAGGAAATGGTGCTTAGCAACCGCAGAATCCCACTTGTCCTAGGGCTACAAGCACCCCCTGTGAATCTCTGCTCCAGGGAAGCTGCTTGGCAGGAACACTGCCTCCCTGAGCACCTCCATCCAGAGACACTCTGGAAAGTGCTGTGACTCCCCTGACTGGGGCATTTGGGTTTCCTCTGGAAAGGGATTCTGCTTCATGGCACTGACACTGAGCCCAAAGAGTCTGAGCTGGCACAGACACAGAGATACAGAATGCTCAGTGCCACTGGAACTTTTACCTTTACATGCATGTTGTCTAAACAAATATGTCTTTCCCAAAAGGATCTATATGCCTAAACACACTAGTTATTTCTGAAAATAGGTGGTGTGATTTTGCTGCAATTCTAAACACCAAGAGTTGCACAGAGGGAAATATTCCACCCAGCTGTAAAAGAGAAATGTGCATGGTATGAGCCAAAAGAAGATTAAAAACAAAATACCAATTAAATTCAAACTGGCATTCATCTCAAAGAAATCAATTCCATCTGAAGAGTTTCAGTCTGAAGATAGACCAGCTGAGCTAACAGTGAAGGAAGCCTTGATTGCTTTATTTTGTAACTTGAAGCAAAAAGTAAAAGCACACAAAAAACCCCACCACAACCCCCCCTCACACACTAAAACACACTGCACCAAAACCAACACACCAACCAACCAAACCAGTGCAGTAAGAATTGGCAGAGTAAGGACCCCTCAGGAGCTGCAGCCTAAACCACGGTGTGACATGCACCTCACTTACCTCAGAGTACCTGGCATATGTCTAAGCAACTTTGGAGGAGCTCAATTGATTAAAAAGGTATTTTGACAGACTTTTTTGGGTTTGGAACAGGATTTTGGATAATTGCTCCATGAGCTATAAAAGAAGCAGACTGAAAAACAGGAGCAGCCGCTGAGCAGTTGTTTGCACAGGAAGCAATATTGCAGGAAAAGGCAATAATAAAGAACAGTTAATTTGACCTGAGCTGATGAGGTCAATGTTTTAAAAGAAATAGCTCCACATAAAGTAAAATAAGAAGGTTATTTCCCATCAGAATAATGCTGCAAGTGTAACACTGCACAAAATCTCTTCCCTGACACTTGTTATGTGCAGCTTAGTGGTAACACACATTCCTGAGGTGTCCTAGACATCCTGTGTCTGACACAAATCCATTCCTCTGAAATATTGGTTCTATGACTGCTCCCTCCTGCAAGTTCTGGCTGCTCCAGGCTGCACACTGCTCTCCCCAGCATCCAGCTACTAATAACCTGGAACTGCAAGAACTGGAATAAATCTGGGCAATATTCAGAGCCACAAAGTTAAATATAACACCGCTGCTGTGATTTGGACAGGGAAGCAGTAGCTGGAGCAGATATTTCACTCTTAATTCGCTGCCATTCAGGGGTGCTGTTGACAGGAGATGGAGCCCAGCTCAGCGGAAGAGCCACGAGCTTAGGAATTCAGTAGGGCTGGATCCTATTCCTTCTTCCTCCACTGCCCTGCTGTCTAATCCTGGGTGAGAACATCCCCTCCGGGCATCTGGTTCCCCTCCCTCCCTGACACATCTATTTAAACTGCAAATTCACTGGGGTAGGGACCATCTTGGTAATGATAAAGCATGTACAGCACCCTGCACTAATAGTTCTATTAATAAATATTCCCACTGCTATTAAGTAATAAAACAAAAACGATGGTATGAATTGGAAGGTCATTGATACATTACATTAATTCTGAAGTATCTGGGTATAAAATGCAAGGCAAACTCTCCCAAGCAGAAGCAAGCTGGGGGACACCTATGTTGTTTTCCAGCATTTTTGGGCTATACAATTAGAGGTAATTGAGTTTTTAACTGCATGTGATTACTCCAAGAATACCATCACTGGAGGCTAAGTGTCCTAGGAAGCTGGGGGACGGGAGAAAAGAAACATTACAGAGTTGGAAGGAACAGAAAAGGGACAGACACACAGCCTGAAATGTGCTGGAGATTGCATGAGCTGAGCCAGTCCAAGGCATTTCAATTTTCTACAAACATGGAAACAGCTGGGCCACAGACTCAAAGATTCCATGTTCCCAGTTCAACAAATTCAAGAAGAGTTAAATACATCCATGCTTCTATGCATTTTTAACCACAATGGTGAGGTAAAGCACAGACCTAGGAAAGCCTTCTACAGTTCTGCAAACACCAGAAACATCAGAAGGAAACAAAATTCATGTACCACAAGTAATTCCTGTTGCATTTGCAAACTGCCATTTCTCTGCAATACATATGAGCATCTCTTTTACACCTCAAAATGAGCTCCACATTAAAGCTACCTGACAACCAGAAATGACCATTTCATTCACCAAGAAACTGAAAAATGGTTCTCCTACCAGACCTTAGATTTGTTTTACACCTCCTGGCAAACCCTACAAATGCTGGAAACATCACTCATTTCTGACAAACTTTGCTCTTTTTGACAGCTACTGAAGTCTGAGGTACCACAATTGACAGGAAATCTCATTTTTAGCACTACTGAAGCAATTAAGACTGCTAGAGTTTCTTTTGTAGCTTTATCCTGATTTGATATTAGATTTAGTAAGACTTTTCTTAATATTCAGATGTGCTGAAAGTATGTTTCTTAGTATGAGGAGCAGGCTAAGGAAAAAAGGCTGGCAGCACTGTCTCCCCCCATCCACAGAGGTAAAATCAAACAGATTGATTTGGAATGTAAGCTTTGTGCACAGAGGATAGAATTTACTGACAAAGTTAAAGAGCAGACTTTAAGGAAAGAGGAAAAATTGAAAGGAGGAAGAAAAGAATTTCAGGAGAGGGAAAGTAAAGGAGACCCTGTCCCCACGAGCTAATTGTCTGTCTCATGCTATAGGGGATGCTCTTGCTTAGCTTACCAGTGAAAGACATTCCCTCCTCCCCCTGCAAGCAGAGGAACTCACAGCACTAATATGACACCTTAAATGAGCCAACTTCCTTGAGCATTGCCCAGGAGACTAGAATGGACATGCTCCTAACTCAGACACCAAGAAACATGTCTGATTAGCAGTCGGGCAGAAGAACATCTCTGACCAAGGAAAAACACTCATGTTCAAGCAGAAAAAAACCCCAGTGGATTGCCACAAGTGGCATATTTTCATAGCCTTTGTGTAAACACCAGCTCCAGATCAGCCAGCATCTCAGCTAGTTCTATCTGGCTTCCCTTCTTTTGAAACAAAATTAAGGAAAACACCCATCAGAAAAGGTCAGTGGCCAAACTATTAGGAAAAAATAAAAGGCATGGGGGAGGACATACATAGTAATTCACTAAATGTGCACTGCTAAGCCTCTGACAGTGGGCACAACCCAGACTTTTCACAGAAATGTACTGAATTTGCAGAACTGTTGTGCCACAGCATTAATTAGAATTGTATTTCTTACGAAATTCTCAATACTCCCCTACAGCTACCCCCACCAATAGGAGTGGTGTGAACCCCATGGTTTAGAGGGAAACAAAGCCAAAGCAGCTACAAAGAGCACAACAAAAACTCCACCCACTTCACGTGGACACCTACGCAAAATGAGCGGACTGAGCATCTCAGGTTCTTAGAAAAACACTCAGCCTGGCAAACAAGCATGTCCTAAGGTGAGTGCCAGGTGGGAATTCACCTTACACTGACACTAGAACACACCTTCATGGATCATGTGCAATGAGCAGAACTGCTTCTCACAAAACTAACTTCTGCTCCAAAGCCAGCAAATTTGCATTTGATAACTACAGTAACTTTCCAAGACTGCACCCCAATCCTAATCTGAAAACATCAAGAATTTGATATTTCGTTACATTCCAGAGCCAATTTTAACAGTGAGGCCAATTAACCAGCAGAACATTGTGTGAACTTTAGTTCTTATTCATTCCTTCAGTTCCTATTTAGATGGTATTTGTTTAACTAAGGTTACTGGTTCTTGCTACATTAAATGCTGTGCTGCTCAGATTTGGCATGTTCTGTGCTAAGGAGGTACTTGGTGTAAATTGACTCATACCTGAACCATCTCATAAACCAGAGGCAGAATGCAGCACACAAAGCAGATCTTTCTGCCTCTGAGTGGACTTTTGTGGCTCCCCTTTGCCTACTTTCTGGTTTTTGCACTCAAAATGCAGCCAGCATTACTCTGCAGTCCACAACTCTTCCCAATATTGCATTCAGAAGGAGAAGTCCTTTCCTATTTATTGCTGCACTATTCACATACCCAAGGCCCCCCCACACATGCTGTGGCTAAGGGTCAAACTGGTTTACTTTCTTAGCTAAACTTCCAAATCCTCTTCCCAGAGCCTGTTATTTACTCCTCTATTGCTCATTTTGCATTTAGCCGTATTAAAACACATTTCATTCAAATGAGGCCAGTTTGTCAAAGCGACCCTGTAAACTGCCAATTTGCACGTCATCCACAGAAATTCAACATCTGCTTCCAAGCACTGAGCTGCCTCCTAGCAGAACACCCACAGAAACATTCCCAGGCTGTGGAACCAACTTCTTCAAAAATTACAAAGTTAGACAGTTCATTCATTTATTGTGCAGAGTATCAATATTGTTTTTATTGTGTAATATAATTTCTATTTATTTTTTTAAAATAATGTCATGTAATAAATAAATCAAGCACCTGTAAAGGAAATAAGGAAACATTCATCTTTCTAAACAAAACCTGCAATTTTGTTGGTGTAAAATTTTTGATGCAATCCATTTTCCATAAATAGTAGTCACCAACTCCAAATGCTTCTATCCTTAACTTTACCGTTTAAAAACATTAATAAAAATAAGTCCAGTTAAATTGTGCTTTTTCAATTTAGGACTAAGGTCAGTCAGGGTGAGGTATTTTTTGTTTCCTGGGATTGAACAAATTAAATTATGTATCTATTCACATTTTCTGAACACTGATGAATTAGCAATTAGTTATCTGCCATGTCCCCTATTATTCCAAACATTAGGATTTAAATGTCCTGCTGCTGGAAATCTCTTCACCCAAGTCTTTCACCATTCCTGGATGAACTTTATTTAGGGCTGCAGATCTCAAATGTCCACTTCCACATACTGCATTTAATATTAATTTTTAAATGAATTAGAAATACTTCCACTGCCCTCCTCACATACACAAGCCAATCTTCCTTTTCCCACAGTAAGGCTACAGCTTTAAAAAATTTTGACAAATATTTTAAGAGAGAGAAAAAGGCATTCAGAGAAAGTATTTTTTTAAACAGAACAACAGGCATTTTCTGTCCACTGGCTTTTCTACACTGATTGTGAGACAGAAAATATCTCCCCCACACTGTTGTATTTTAAAAGAAGTAGAAAGAAGATAAATTTACACCACAGGAAAACAAGAAAACAATCCGCACAGCTTTGCAAAAACTTACACTGCTTTTGGAAAAATAAGCTGCAAATGCTTCCACACTGTGAATACTTCGAGAGATAATGAACACAGCACAAATATGCATGGCAAAAATAAATCAATTACTGATAGGAAACTAGCTTGATGCACAGATTTTTGCTTTGCTGACTTCTTCATTTGTTAAGGAAAGAAGAGTATTGGTTATTTTCAAGACATTCAGTTTACCATTATTAATTCTAAAATACAAAACCTAAAAAAGTACAGAGATTTAAAACAATACAAAGCAGAAAACCAGTAAGGTGCAGAAAAGACCAGCCACTCATGCTCCCACCCCCAGCTCTACATTTATGTGCACAGGCTGGTGTGTACTTGTACCATGTCATGACACAGAACAGGAATGCTGAAATATCTTCGGCTGCCACCCCAATGGTGACACATTTGCAAAAATACCTGCTGCTTTCTAGAGCCAAATAGCAATGAAAATCTTTAACAACTCCTTAACCTTGGCATCATTTTCTAGATTGTCTGCCTCATACTCACAGATTACTCCAGTGCTCAAAATAAATTTGAAGAAAGTGCAGATAATTTTTGAACTTGCAAAATTTCAACTTTCAGAATTGGTACACAAATGAGAAAAAACAATTCAAGGACACCACAACTTCACAGGGAGAGAGGTATAGTTTGTTTTTTGACAACTAAGCAATGAAAATGTTCCATATATTTGTGATGGCCCTTCTGGGTGGCCCACCATAAAATTCCAGCTATCAGGATGATGAAATTCTTCAATTAATTCCTAATTACTTATTTAATTGGAAGAGAACAGTCTATTTCACGTAACATGCAACTCAGGTTTAAATGACCTCTGAATTTCATATGAGGAAATCCTTGATCTTCTGAAAGGCATTAAAAAAATACAAACAAGCAAATCTTACCATTTTGATGCCAGTGGAAAACGTGACTGGTTTGACAGGTTTGGGTTTTTCCAGCTGCATTTCTAGCTGAGTAGATCTGTCCTTATGCTGAGCTAAGAGCAGAGAGGCAGGAAGATCAGAGCTTTCCTGTAAACATATGAGGAATAAATTTGAGCCCAAAACAAGTATTAATTAACACTGATATTCTTCCAAACTGCAAGCTGTAACTGCAAGGCCATCACTAAAACAGCAGAATGCTAAGTATCCTCTCCCTCAGAAACATTTACAGAAAACGATCATTTTCTGTAATAAGAAAAAGCTGCAGCAACCCCATAAATCAGAGTAACCTGCAAACAACCATTTTTATAGAATCCACATTAAAGACAATATAACAGGCTCCTTATTCCAACTGGCCAATGCAAGAATATTTATTAAAATTTAAAAAAAATTAGAACTTAATCAGAGAAGGAATAATACTGAGCAGTATAACTTGGATCAGATGTTTATCTAAGACACATTCTTTCTACCAATGAACTCAGACCAGTTTGAAATTGTTTCCCATTAGATTTCACCTGAGGCCGTTTGGAAATGATCCTTGCTCTGCTCTGCACAATGGAACTATTGTAAGTGCAACCAACAGCATATTTATTTTCTCCTTCAGCAACTTATTTTTAGGGAAGCTGGCCAATTTTTAAATATATATATATATATATATGTATGCATATGTACATATAAAAAGTAGTAAAATGAGTAGTTAAGCAAAAGAATTACTTAAACTGTCAAAACAGAATGATTATTAACATACATATGTGTAAGTGCATTTTTGAGAGAGTCAGAAAATTATTGGCTAAGTAATTTTCTAAGAGACTAATGTTACTATCTACAGGCACACAGAAATCCTTGAGAATTCCTGGCTGTAATTACCATGAAGTTGAGAGCAGGGAAGAAGTGCAGACAGATTCTTCCTGGACTGCTCTAGCACAGTATTTTATTCTGAAGACCCTCACACATAACATTTACTTCTGTTTCAAAAAGCCAAGCAAATACTGAACCATGAACTATATTTGTTACTCACAAAACCACAGATTTTATTAACAGGACTGTGATTTTTTAAATTATTCAGTTCAAGGCAAGAAGTTGGATATTTCTAATGCCATAAGATGCCTTATTGTTTTTATGGTACCTAGAAAAATCCTCTGAAGTGACCATGAAGAACAGTCACGTTGTACACTGACTTTTCATATCACTCTCCATCTTTTTTCCTCTCTATATTTTATTACATTCCCTTTGTCTTACCACTAAAATGCAAGACAAAAGCAGAAAAATCTCGCACAACAAGACCTGGTCCAGAATCACGAATACAACAAGTAAGGCACAGGTTCCTACTTGCATTTCCGTGATCAGGTGGGAGGAAGGGAGGGAAGATGCTAAAAACCTAAATTGTAGAGACATCTAATTTCTGTACAACTGGAAGAAAATCTGGACTACAAATGCACTAGTTTAGAGTCTGCTTCTTTCAAGTGTTGTACATCTCTAACCAGCAAGCAGCAGCATGTGCTGCCAGCTGTCAGCAGAGGTTAAGGATGTTGAATTCTTTCAATCACCAGATTTAACACACTGGGGGAGAAGGGAAGAGTGGGAAGCATTCTCTGGTTCATTTTGTCGTTCATATTCCTTAAATGCTCACTGCATTTCTAATAAAATGATTCAAGGAAGCCAATTTTTAACCAACTTCTCAAGAGCTCACACAATGATCAGTAACCAGATTACACAACTGTGGGAAACCCACACTGTGCCAGCAAGGCACCACATCCTGATTGTTTGTCCTTTTGAATATGCACAGAACCCTTCTGTTAACTATTAACACACGTGAAAGTTCCAGCCCTGTGTTTATCCATACCAGCAATTTTCTGTATGGGAAAACAAACTGTCTACACTATGAACAAAGCTGGTTGTACGCAACAATTTCTGGAAGATTTGTCTCAAAACCCTTGAGGTCCTGGTGAAAGTGTGGATATGACGTCTTTAACGCCTTTGCCTGACTCCAAGCTATGCCACAGTCCAGGGAAAACCTGCTCCTCTGCCATGTGCTGCAATCCCATTGTGCTCATGCCTGGGAAATATGGGCTGTTGAAGAGGAGAGTGCAAGTGCCAGGGCACACAAGACATCAAAGAGATCATCTTAGAATCCTCTGTATACATGTGAGGGTGCTTGTACAGCACATAAAAAAATACTTTGATATTTTACTCAGACTGGATTATCCAAGACTATTGAAGGTTTAAAAATATCCCCAAACAACAGCCCAAAGTAAAACACTCATATAGCTCTTCCAGTGATGCAAAAAGTGCATTTGAGACTGCAAGTCTTAATTACAACAGGGTATTTTCCTTTAAGTGAGAGTTTTTATTGTAAAAGAGGTGACCTACAATGAAGGTAACATAAAAATTGCCTAATTAGTACTGGGAGGCCAAAAGGACCAAACTGCTTTTCCAGTGGCCTGCAGAGCCTGTGTCCCCCCTGAAGACCTCCTGACCTCTCCAGCACTTCACACTGGCCTTCTCCACCCTGATTCCAGCCAGGGATGGGTTCATGGAGCCTTGGCCCCAAGGTCCAGCCCTTCCTGCATGAGCCCCTGCACTCCCCAGGCTGGCCAGAAGCCAGAGCCCACTGCACAACATTTTAAATACCAAACATTTCTGTGCCTCCAGACTACCTAAATTATCAGCTCTTTGAGGATGGTACAGCATTCTCAAACACTCTCGTACACAACTGAGACCTTTACTCCACGTGAAACCACCATAAGTAACACATATAATGACTTAGACCACCAAGATGATGAGGGGGAAGGAGCACCTTTTTCCATAAGGAAACAATGAGGGCATTGGGATTGCTCAGCCTAGAAAAGAGAAGGCTTTGGGGTGACCTAATTGTGGCTTTCCAGTACCTGAAGGGAGCTGGAAAGAGATGGAGAGAGACTATTTACAACAGCCTGGAGTGGCAGGACAAGGGGGAATGGCTTCAAGCTGACAGAGGGCAGGTTTAGATTAGACTGTAGACAAGTTCTTTACCAAGGGTGGTGAGGCCCTGGCACAGGTTGCACAGAGAAGCTGTGGATGCCCCAACACTGTGAATGTTCAAGGCCAGGTTGGATGGGGCTTTGAGCAATCTGCTCTAGTGGAAGTTTTCTCACCCCATGGCAGGGGGGTGGCACTGGATGGTCTCCAAGGCCCCTTCTAACCCAAGCATTTCTATGATTCTATGAGATTTGAAGCTGTGTAAGATTTCATCACCAAAGGTAAAATTCATTTCTTGACAAGGAAAATACCCAACATCTCCACTTGTACAACACAAAAAATGTGTCTTACATTTTTTCTGCTGCCCAGTGGCCAAGGAAAACTTGGAAAAAAAAATACCAAGATCCATTAGGTCTGGGCTGTAGGATGACCACACCAGATGATCTGTCCAAAGGAGAAGATTCAAAACCATTGTCAGGTTTCCACCTTCCTCTGCTCTCACAATCCTGCAGACTCAGTGCTGGTTACCACTGGTATCTCTGTAGCCAGAAAATAATCCTTTTTGGTGTAGAACTGAAGCAGCAACTACAGATATAAGATTATTTTTTTAAAGTTAATTCTTTACATTGCTGCTGCTTATGCTTGGCTCTTGCTCATGATCAGTTTCATTTTCAGATTTGCAGCACAGCATTAGAGGGATTTCAGAGACCATAGGAAATGTTTATTTGTTTAGCAACCCCTGGTTTTCCAGAGACTTTGTAAGTCATTATACAAACACTTCAGTGCTGGTTTTATAAACCTTTATTACAAAACAAGTTTTGGCTCAAATTTAAGTTGACACTGCCCCTTCAGAAACAGAGACACAACTTGAAACTGTCCAGTTTCCTCCTTCGGCCTTTAAAAATCACCTTTATGTTGTTTTTAGAATATTAAGATCTGTTTTAATAGCTATACATATGCAATCACAGTTAAAACTACTTATTTTAGTCATGTTTTAAGGCTTATTTGTAGCTATTCTTTCTGCAAGCCACCTGGTGAAGGTTTCCAGTAAAACCAAATGCTGTGTTAGAAACAGCTCTGGTCAGTTAGGAGTGTGTCTTAGAGCAGGGTTTTCAAAAGTCAGAAACTCAAAATCCGTATTTTGAGGTATTAAATTCAAACTCACAATGCAGTTTTTACTAATTTATCCACCATTCCTAATTGGGTGGAGAAACTGGGTGAACACATTTACCTTTAAGGTGAAAAGAGACTGCTGGATGGATACAGGCTTTCTACTCATCTCTGCTTTTGTCTACAAAAGGAAAACCAATAACAGGTTGCCAGGAATCCTGGCTTGAAGAAAGGCATCTCTTCAGGAGGCCCTGAAACTCCTAAACTTCACTTAGATTCTCTCTCCATGTCAGTGCCTTCTGCACTGGCCCAAAGAGGAACTCTACTTTTTCAGGAAAAGTAGAAAAGCATCTGAATAAGAACTGAGACTACAAAGCAGAAATTAGCACTGTGTTAGTGTGAGGTGCACTGTTATAAGACAGAAAATATGATTTAGATATGCCAAGCAGCTTTAAACCACACCAACACAGCTGAACACATATGTATGCATATGTACTTCACTTTTCTAGTTTCCCTCAAAGTTACACAGACTGTGTGTACACACTGTCCTCATGGGTATTAAACCTGTGAATGTGTGTGTATGCATGTCTGTACACACACTTGTACTGAAAAAATTGAGACGTGAGCCTTGTTTAAGTAACACATTTAATGAGTTTCTCTATGCCCACACATTATTGCACTTCAGATACAGAAACAGCAAACTAATTGAGATTACCACGATTTACAAAAGTAGTCTGAGTTTTCCTGTTTGTCTGTACAAGCTTCATTCACTTCAAAAGGAGCAACTTGTACAGGGGAAATTCCAGTAAGAGAACACAACTCACTCAAGGTAAGTAAACTTTTTGTTGTAGTAGTTTTTGCATACAAAGGCACCACCAGTCATGGTCTGAATGAGAAAGGGCTGACCAATGCTTGGATAACTCATGAGGTTCCTGTCCCCTGCTCTCCACCATCTCCACTGCAGAGGTGACTGAGTCTAGAAGCACCTCCTGATGACCTCTTCACTTCCACACACCAGCCCATTTCAGCCACTACTCAGAACTGCTTAACAAGCCAACAGTGGCAGAGTCCAATTAAGCCTACAAATCCCAGAAGCATTCTTTTTCCAGCCCCTAGCTTACCAAAACCAGAGTGGTTTGTAACATTGAAATAAGTAACAGGGGAGAAAATGAAAACATAAAACACACAAAACAGGGAAACGGGGACAGATCTGTTAATTTCATGTAGTTAGCAGTGATAGAGATGAATGTCAATGCTACTGAGCATTCAAAGCCTCTGGTTTTGTTACTCACCAGGTCATCCAGGAGTGCCTGTTTATTCTTCCTTTTTATCATCTGTTGTAGCTGTTCTTCCTTCTGGATGAACAGCCGCCTTTGTTCGCTTTCCTGCCGCTCTACCTCCAGAGCCTCCTCCAGCTCTTCCTGCTCCCGTGTCTGAAAGGGAAATCAGAAATCAGCTCACAGCAGCCCCACAGCTCCACTGTCCCCCAGGGGACCCC